TTGGTCTCTGGATTGGTTGGTTGGGCTATTTGAGTTCTGGAACTGGTGGAGGCATTTGGCGAGGCGGTTGATGTAACCGACCAGACGACGTTTCAAAATGTTTCGTCTTGGGCGGTTGACGGCGGTTTCTGGCGACGGTTCCAAAACGTCTTTTCAAGCCAGTACAAAGGTAAGTTAAGAGCTAAATTGTCATTTTCGAAATGAGGGGCATGATAGACTTTTCAAGTGACAGATCCGTACAATCTCGTGTATAACAACATACAAGTTTTAATACAAAAATCAACTAATACATAAGGTTTTGTTACGTACAAAAATAATAATAATAATAAAAATAATGGTAGCAGTGTCTTGAAGGAAGGTAGGACCCGAAGTCGGGCAGAAAAATAGAAAAATTTGCGCTCAGGTCAGTTGGTCAGGTCGGGAGGTCCTCAGGTCGGGAGGTCCTCAAGACGGAAAGTCATCAAGCAGGAAAGTCCTCAGGTCGGGAGGTCCTCAAGACGGAAAGTCATTAGGAAGGAAAGTCCTCAGGTCGGGTAGTCAGGTCGGTTGGTTAGCGGGTCGGAAAGTCTGTAGGTCTGATGGTCAGCAGGTCGGACAGACATGTCGGAAGGTCTGCGGTCGGGTAGTCAGGTTGGTTTGTTAGCGGGTCGGATGGTCCATAGGTCGGAAAGTCTGCAGGTCTGATGGTCAGCAGGTCGGACAGACAGGTCGGATGGTCAGCAGGTCGGATAGACAGGTCTGATGGTCAGCAGGTCGGACAAACAAGTCTGATGGTCTGCGGTCGGATAAAGTAGGTCGACTGGTCTAGCAATTGGTCTCTTGAATGGTCGGTCGGGCCAGTTGAGTTCTGGAACTGGTGGAAGCGTTTGGCGAGACGGTGCAAGACACGTGTCAATAAAGGAGGAATTAGTGGGCAATTGATGTAACCGACCAGACGACGTTTCAAAGCGTTTCGTCTTGGGCGGTTGACGGCGGTTGCTGGCGACGGTTCCAAAACGTCTTTTCAAGTAATATTTAAGGATTTAGATTTTTTATTCTCAAGCATCTTCAATCAACTTCAACAAAGCAAAGTCAGATTTGGGGATCACCACTTTAAATTTTCAGCATTTTAATTTTTCAGTCAATTTCCTTTTATGTACCGTACAATGTTTAGAGATTCCTAATCTCAGACGCTAAAAAATCAAATTTAAGGTGTTACGTACAAAAATAATAATAATAATAAAAATAATGGTAGCAGGGTCTTGAACGAAGGTAGAACCCGAAGTCGGGCAGAAAAGTAGAAAAATTTGCCCTCAGGTCGGTTGGTCAGGTCGGGAGGTCCTCAAGACGAAAAGTGGTCAGGTTGGGAAGTCCTCAGGTCGGGAGTTCCTCAAGACGAAAAGTGGTCAGGTCCGGAAGTCCTCAGGTCGGGAGGTCCTCAAGACAGAAAGTGGTCAGGACGGGAAGTCCTTAGGTCGGGAAGTCCTCAGGTCGGAAGGTCCTCAAGACGGAAAGTGGTCAGGTTGGGAAGTCCTTAGGTCGGGAGGTCGTCAAGACGAAAAGTGGTCAGGTCGGGAAGTCTGCAGGTCGGACAGACAGGTCGGATGGTCAGCAGGTCAGACAGACAGGTCTGATGGTCAGTAGGTCGGATAAAGTAGGTCGGCTGGTCTAGCAATTGGTCTCTGGAATGGTCGGTCGGACAAGTTGAGTTCGGGAACTGGTAGAAGCGTTTGGCTAGACGGTGCAAGGCACGTGTCAATAAAGGAGGAATTAGAGATTCCTAATCTCAGGCGCTAATTAATCAAATTTAAGGATATTTTCCATATCTTTGAATTTTACTTTTTGTCTGTTGAAAAAATACATCAACACTTTATTTTCATATTTTACTTTTTATTGTTGAAAAATTGCATCAACAACAATAAAAAATAAAATAGAGGAGAATATAGATGAAATGTTTGAGATAAGAAGGGTGACCCTGCATCTCTTTATGAGTTTTGAAATGTCAAAAATAGCAAGGATATTTCAACTTTGATCATTGTTACGCACAAAAAATAATAATAATAATAAAAATAAGGATAGCAGGATCTTAAAGGAAGATAGACACGAAGTCGGGTGGAAAAAGAAAAAAATTTGCCTCAAGTCGGTTGGTCCTCGGTCGGATGGTCAGGTGCGTTGGTTAGCAGTCGGATAGGCAGGTCGGAAGATCCTCGGTCGGTTGGTCTGGTCGGTTGGTCCTCGGTCGGATGATCAGGTCGGTTGGTTAGCGGTCGGATTGGCAGGTCGGAAAGTCCTCGGTCGGTTGGTATGGTCGGTTGGTCCTCGTTCGGATGGTTAGCGGTCGGACAGACAGGTCTGATGATCAGCAGGTCGGACAAACAGGTCTGATGGTCTGCGGTCGGATAAAGTAGGTCGGCTGGTCTGCGGTCGGATAGGCAAGTCAGTTGGTCCGCAGGCGGATAGACGGGTCGCTTGGTTGGTGCGGCCAAGAAGTCTTTTGGTGTAGCGATTGGTCTCTGGATTGGTCGGTTGGGCTATTTGAGTTCTGGAACTGGTTGAGGCATTTGGCGAGGCGGTTGATGTAACCGACCAGACGATGTTTCAGGTAGATTAAGGGCTAAATTGTCATTTTCGAAATGAGGGGCATGATAGACTTTTCAAGTGGCAGATCCGTACAATCTCGTCTTTTCAAGCCAGTACAAAGATAGGTTAAGGACTAAATTGTCATTTTCGAAATGAGGGGCATGATAGATTTTTCAAGTGGCAGATCCGTACAAACTCGTGTTTATAAGATATAATATATATATATTACACTCCCTTAGGGTGTGTTTATTCGAGGGGATTGGATTTTAATTCAACTATTCATTTTATTTTTTTATTTTTAAAAAACATTAAATCAAACACTTATTTTTTATTTTATTATATTATACTAAAAAATCAATTTTACATTCAAAAAATCACATCAATACCTATTTATATTATATCATATAATTATTCAAATTCAAAATTTTTACTATTCAAATCCCAACTCAAAATCCAAACCTCCAAACAAACACACCCTAATTTGTTCCTATTTTCTATTTTCGTCCATCTTACATACATTGTTCATTCTATTTTTGAAAATATAATTATGCACTTTAATCACATTTTAAATTTTATAATTTTTTTATTTTAATTAAACTATTTACTTATTTTAATCTTAATCTATAATTATTTTTACATTATACACTTATTAATTATCTACTAATTATACTTTACTTAAATTCTTGTATCTACATAATAAGCCCAAAATACGAAGGATTAATATGTATTTATATTTAATTTATAATTTATAAAATAAATATATAAAACAAAATCAAATTTGGGGTCAAAAAGTAATTAATCCTTCGAAAAGGTTTATTGTAGCATGCTCCAAAATTCGAGGCTTAAATGGCGGAGCAATTTTCATTTCGTATATGAAGTATTTATTTTAAATTGATTTTGTGTAAAATAGAAAATATCCTTTGGTTTAGTATATAGTGAAAAATAAAGTGTGTTACCAATTTATTTATTTTTTTTATAAGTAAGAGTGAGAAAAATTCATAATTAGGTAGCAACTATAGATTATTAATGAAAGTGAAAAATTATAGGTGTAACAATCATAAATGATAAATATTATGACCATACAATTTAAACTATGCTAAAGGCTTAAAAAATTAATTAGCTTAATTTATATAATTAATTAAAATAATTAATATAATTATATATTATTAATTTTTAACTATCAGCGTGGATGCTCACTTGAAAAAAAATATAAAGTCATATGATATTTACTAAAGACAATACTCTCTTTGTTCGCCAATTTTAACCAATTTTTTTAAAAGATTTTATAAATAAAATGAAATTAAAAATTAAAAAAAGAAAAGAAAAAAAAATTACAAAAAATAAAGATGTAAACAGTATTTCCTCTTTACCAAGAAGACTCGTATAAAAAAATATATATATTAATATATACGTATCATAATGCGATCATTTGCTTGCTCATATAAAATTTAAAGAATAATTATTTTATGTATATAAATAATTATATTGAATAAATAAATAAATAATTATTGTAACTTATTGTGTTTTTTTTTTTTTAAAAAAAAAAAGAAAACTTATTGTCTTTATAAAATAATTGAGTGGTTGAATATTAGATATCATAATATATTCTCTGTAAGAAATAATGTGTTTATTCTATATTTTTTAATAGACGTATTCTTATGTTATACTTTTTCCATAATGTAAATTTGTGTTCATTTGATCGGATACGAAAATTAATAAAAATGAGTAATAATTGTTAATTTTTTTTTTTATGGTAAAGAAAAGTACAAAAATGTAATAATTTTTTACTTAAAAAAAAAACGAGAATAATTTTCGATAACAACCCAAAAAGAAAAGTGAGCATAGATGTGAATGAGGGACGCAGTAGTATTAAATATGTTAAACTATGTCCACAATTCAAAAAAAATAAAATTTTATATTAAATTATTGATTTTAGTAAATAGACATATAGTGTATAATTATATGTAAATGGAGTATTTTTTAATATTGCCCCGTGCTTAATGTTCTATTTATTTTTTTATTTTGACTCGTTTTATAACAAAGTAATTATTTTTTTTTTAGTAATTATACTATTTAACTAACATTACAAATACTTTTTCAATTTACAATAATATATTACATAAATATCATTACCTTATATCATACAATACTAATAAAGTTAGTTTAGTCTTTTTTTACCTTTATTTTTACTACATCTCAATATAATATTCCCTCCGTCCGGCTTGTCTCATTTACTTTTTGCGTAATTGTACTTAACATTAAAAATATATAATTTTTTGCACAAATGTTATAGTATTATAAAATAATAATAGAAGTATTTTTGTCGTTTTTCTTAATCTATATTATATTTTTATATAATAATTAATATTCAAATATCAAAGTAAAAATAAAATAAAAATAAAAATGAATAGATAGATATGAGTAATATGAATATATATATATATATATATTCGTTAGAGTGAACACAAATTAGTAATATACGAATATACCAAATTAAAATTACTTATTAGTCACTATTATATTCCCACCCTAAGTCACACCTTCAACAGTAGATCGTGAATACCTTTCCGAAAACAGACAATACAATAATCATTCAAATCAGATCCCGCCGGAGATTCAGACCTTCGACGTCGCCGGCGCCGGCGGAATACTCTGCTCGTGCCAGAAAAAGTTGCCTGGATCAAACTTCGACTTCACCATTTCCAACCTCTTCAAATTCCCTTTAAAATACTTCGCCGCCCATTCCCCCGGCGGCGCCGCCGCCGTCCGATTCACGTTCACCGCCCCCAAATCGACGTCCCTGTAATTAACGTACGCTTCCCTCGGACTCTTCGAAGCATACTGCCCCATGTAATCGTACATTCTTCTTATCCAATCGTAATGCTTCTTTATCGACTCCGCCGTCGAATTTTCCGGCCAGTTTATCAGGTACTGCGCCATGAAAACGACGCCGTTTCGGTGCGGGAACGGCGTACGGTCCGCCGGAATTCTCCCCACCTCCCCGCCGAACGGATTCCATATCGTCAACGGCGAGTTTTCTTCAAGAAATAATTTCCACAGCCCTTCCAGACCTTTTTCGGGAATCGGCGATTTGATGAAATCCGACTTCGCCTTGAAATGGGTTTTGAACGCCGCTTTTCCGGCGAGCAGCGCCGCCGGCGGAGTTCCCGGCGGGAAGCTTCCGATCCGTACTACCGATTCGATCCACGTCATCTCGGCGCAGTCTTTTTTTTTCAGATTGAGTTCCGGGAAGGATTTAGCCATTATTGTTAAGAGGTTGTCCGCCCTGCCGAGAAAAAGCGCGTCGTAGGTCGTCTGGATTGTTCGTTTTCCGATGGTGGCGTTGACCGGCTGGATTATGACTCTGATGAAGAGATTCTCGTCGATTTTGTCGGCGATTTGCTGCCATTTGTAGAGCATTTTCGTCGCACCTTGTTCGAGAGTTGTCGGAACAGTGAACGCCGTCACGATCGCCGGAACTTCGACGAGTTTGACTTTCCAGGCGAGGATTATCCCGAAACTGCCGCCTGCGCCGCCGCCGATTGCCCAGAAGACATCTTCGCCCATGGATTTACGGTCGAGGATTTTTCCGGTCGGGTCGACGATTCGCGCGTCGACGACGTTGTCGATCCCGAGGCCGTACTTCCTCATCATCGTACCTGAAGAGCGAAATTAGCATCAAAATTTGAAGTTCAAAATATTATAATTTATTTAAAATATTTAAATAATAAAAATATAAATTAAAAAATATGATAGAATAATATATGAATTTAAATAATTTTGAAGTGAAAAATTATATATAAATATATAAAAATTAATATTTTAATATTAAAATTACCCCACAAGTTCTAGTGTAATTATGTTCCTGAATTCATACCTAGTGATGAAACTAACATCTAAAATTCGGGGTTCAAAATATTATAATTTATTTAATATTTAATTAATAAATATAAATAAAAAATAATGATATAATTATATATGAATTTAGATAATTTTAGGAAGTAAAATTATATATAAATACATAAAAATTAATATTTTTAAAACTAAAAAAATTATAAAAAATTGAGATTGGAGTCAATTGACCCCGAAGCCTAAGTATAATTCCGTCCCTGAATTTGTACCTAATAACGAAATTAGCATCTAAATTTCGAGGGTTAAAATATTACAATTTATTTAATATTTAATTAATAAATATAAATAAAAAAAATAATGAAAGAATTATATATGAATTAAGATAATTTTAGAAGAGAAAAATTGTATATAAATATATAAAAATTAATATTTTTAATACTAAATAAATCATAAAAAAATTAGTTTCATCCCGGATCGTACCGTACGCGCCGCCGGTGATATGCCCGCCGACGCCGAGGCTGGGGCAGAGTCCGGCGGGGAAGCCGCGGCGGGGGTTTTTCTGCGAAATTAGGTAATATAGCTCGCCGACGGTGGCGCCGGCTTGCACCCACGCCGTATCGCCGGCGGCGTCGATGTTCACGGCGCGGAGCTTTCGGAGGTCGATGAGTATAAACGGGGGCGGCGATCGGAGCGCCGACGAGTAGGACAGACACTCGTAGTCATGGCCGCCGCTTCTTGTCCGTAAATGGATTCCGAGATTGGCGGCGCAATTGACGGCGGCGCCGACTTGGGATTCGGCCGCCGGCGTGAAGATCAGGGCGGGTTTAGGTACTGACGGGTCTAGGCATCGGAGATTTTGTACTGTGGACTGCAAAACGGCGTCGTATGTCGAAGTTTGAGGCTGCAAGAAAAGTGAAGTGTTGGAGAGACAGTTGTTGTTGTTGTTGGTTTTGCAAATACATTTGGGGAATGAATGTCGAATTTGTGGAAGACAAAAAATGGATTGGAAGATTAGGAAGAAAGAGGAAATGAAAAGCAAAGGGTGGTTGTGTTGATTCATTTTCTTGATTTTCTTGTGGAATTTCGATTGGGTGTGTAATAATTTATTTATAGAGTGATTTAGGGGTTTTCAAATCGTGATTTGGATTTAGTCAATAAGTCAAAACTCTTTTAAATTTGCCAAATTCATTTAAAGGGAAATAAGTCTACGGTCGGCAAAAACTGACCCGAAACGAATTCGATAAAAAATAATTGGGTTTTGGTAAAAATTTCAATTCGATTATGTATACGAGTTGACACGAACCCGACACGATAATAAACAGATCGGATTATGATTGAGGCTCTCAACTCGAACCCGACACGATAATCCGATTATAATATATTAATATTGATTAATATATTTATTATATAGATAAATTAATCATAATTTAATAATTTTTCATAAATTAATTTAAACTATGTTCAATTTTAAAATAATTTAATTTAATTTACGCTCAAACCAATAAAAACTAACATAATACGACAAAAAAATAATTTAATTTGGATCAAAAAATTCGACTTAATTATGTATACGGGTCAACAGGAGTCCATCCGAATCCGACACGATAATAAACAAGTCAACACGAATCCGACACGATAATAAACGAATTAAGTTAAGATTGAATAATTTAACCAATTTATAAAGTATTCAACCCGACACAAATTGACCGATTGCCAACTCTATAAATAACAAGTTTAGTCAATAAGTCAAGACTCTTTTAAATTTGACAAATTCATTTAAAGGGAAATAACATTGAAAGTTTGTCTATGGAGAATGTAATGTGGAAAATCTATATAGATTTTAGCTTCCTATATATATATATATAAGGAAAAGATTTTTTTTTCCATTTAAGAAAATTAAGATTTTGCCAATTTATTTATTTAGTTTTAATTTTAGTTTCAGCAAAAAAAAAAAAAAAAAAAAAAGTTATATTTCAATTGAAATAATTTAAGATTTTTCTAATCTATATATTTATTTTTAATTTTTAGTTTTCATGGTACTTTCTCCATCCCAGGTAGTTTAGACTTATTACTATAGATATGAGAATTTGTAAAAATAATTATTATTCAGTAAAAATAATTATAAATTAAGATTAAAATAAGTAAATAGTTTAATTAAAATCAAGAAAATTATAAAATTTAAAATTTAAAATATGATTAAAATACATAATTATATTTCCAAAAATAAAAAGAACAAGTTACGTGAGACGGACGAAAAATAAAAAAAAAGACAAATTCTGTGAAACGGAGAGAGTAATTTGTATTTATTGTATTTTCAAAGTAAATAAAAATTCGCTCTAATATAATAGTTATACTTTTTGCTTTTAAATATTCACTTACAAGAGTTACATTTTGTTTGTAATAATTATCTAAAATACTATTCGTTACAAATATCTTTTCAATTGTATTTATTTATACAAATATAATTTCATTATAATAAAGTAAAATGATAAATTTGTATTTAAATCTAAAAAAAATCCATTAACTATCATTATAATACAATATTTTTTAATCTCCGTGCAAAACTAAAGTAACTTTTACACCAGGGTGGATGGAGTATAATTTTATATAAAATAACGATAGTTGAATAGTAAAATTAAGATAAAAATGATTTTCAAGTAAATTATTTATATTTTAGTTTTATTATTCTCTATTTATACTATAATGCCTAATACAAAGACTAAAAAAAAGTAATATTTAAATATAAAAATAGAATATGAAATAAAGTGAAGTATTACTTTTTAAAAAAGAAATATTAAATAGTTAATAAAAGAATAGTGAGATAAATAAAAATATAATGAAAAATTGGATTACTATTTATTAAAATATGAGTAATAGAGTTGGTTCACTTTCTGTTTTGAATGCTAAGAATTTTTCAATATTATGTACAAGGAATTGTATTAGTAATTAAAAAAAAAATTATATTTTGTGTTTAATTGTAAATTTTTTATGAGGGAATAAAATATTATATATATTGTATTAATGTATTTATATTTTATTTTTTAGATATTTATGAAAATCTTTTCACCTAAAAATACAAAGTGAACAAACCATAAACTATGAATGGATAAAATTATTTACTAAAAATAATTTATACTCTTTTCGTTCAGCTGAAAGAGTTACATTTAAAAGGTGTATTCATTTGAGATTTTATAAGATTTTATTTAAATTTAAAAATTTTATGAATTTTTGTGAATTTTCTAAATTTAGAATCCATACAGAATTGGATAAATTTTATTAATTGATTTAAATGAATTTCATATATTTGATTGAATTACTTATGAATTTATATGAATTTGATAAAATTATAAAATAATTCTTTTATTGATTCATATAATTTTATAAATTTACATAAAACACACTTCTAGATAAAAAATAATACTAATAATAATGAAGACAATAATAAAAAATAAAAATGATTCGAATTATTAAATAAAAATACAAAAGAAGTAATATTAATTTTAAAAACTACATTATTATTCATTATTATTATTATTATTATCTTCATTCTCACCATTTTATTTTCATTATATATATATATATATATATTATCATCTCATTTCCCCGTAGCATTAGCAATATTTATTATTTATGCATTAGCTTTTGTTATTTGTAAATTTTCATCTTTCATGTCGAGATATAGAAAAGATTAATCTTCATATTCGATTGAAAATTCATCCGATATTATTTAATGAATATATTTTTTATAAATATTAATAAAATAGAAATATTGTAACATAATACTATTTCGTATATTAATATTCGTTTTTATTTTATTGTCATTCAATATATCAATTTATTTTACTTTATATTTGTTATTATTACTTATATAACTTTTACATAATAATAAACATATCGAGTAAATAAAATCAAGATCAAAATTTACGATTTTTGCAAAAAGATATTTGAAATTAAAAAAGAAAATATTTTAAAAAAATAAATGAATATAAACTAACGATTTAACAAAAAAATAAAAATATCTAGTCTACTTTCATTGAAATGACAATATAGTGTATTCGATAATTGAAAATAGATTACAACGATAATACATATTTATTATGATAAAATAATATTTCCTCCGTCCGCCTCTAAGGGTTACATTTATTTTTTGCGTCATTATACTTAATTAAAAAGGATAACTTCCATTAAACTCCCTAATTTTAAATTCAATTTTCCATTTACTCTCTATACACTAAATTCTTCTCATTTACTCTAAATTCTTATTAATTTATTCCTCTTTACTTTCTATTCATTTAAAATTCCTACAATACCCTTATTTATTTTCTTTTATTAACTGTATTTTTTTGTTATCTTCACGTATAAACCTTAATTTCTACCATATAATTTCATTTTTTTACCATTAAAAATAAAAAAATAAGTAGATAGACAACAATATGAAAAATAAATAATTATAAAAATATATATATTTGCAACCTTTAAACAATAATACAAAATATTTATTAAAATATCATGCATGTGATACTCAATTTCGCAAGTACTGTTAAACAATAAGTAAATTAATTTCATATATATACTTACAAATAAATTATATATATATATATTTAATCTAAACAACAACGTGTGTTATTTGAGATTTTTTTTTTTTTTTTTTTGAATAATGGGATTGTTCATGGAATATTTTTAGGTTGAAAACGATTATTCATAGATATTATTTTAAAAAATACAATATACATAAATTAACATAATATATAATACAAATATATTTATCTGCTTAAAAAAAACAATTTCAATATAAAATATTATTTTTTATATTATAAACATAATTTTATATGAGTTTTAGTAAAACTACTTAAGCAAGCTATTTTTACTTTAGAAAAGAATTCTATCAAAATAATTTATAGTAAAATATATTTTTTAAAATGATTATATTTAATAATTACTTTACATTAAAAAGATCATATTCAAGATATACTTTTATCTAAAATATTACATTGCTAATATAATATTTTTCATTTAAAAGATTCCGTAACACACATATTAAGACTATTAAAAATTCAATAACTATACATTCTTTTGAAATTTATTTTTACATTCTTTCCAATATAATATAACGATTCTTTATATAAATAAATAAATAAATAAATAAAATTCTACTGTTACTTAAATACAATATACCCAAATAGAAACCAAACACACCACAGGGATGTTTTTCGTTCACTCAGCATTTTTAAATGAATTGATTTTTAGTATGTAGTATAGAGAATTGTGTCAAAAATATAAAATATATTATTTTAAATTGAATCTTTTAAATTTTTACTTTTTGTAATGAATATTTGAAATATTTTTTACTTTTCGATTTTTATAAAAGATATTATTTATTATTTATTATTATTTTTGGAGAATCGCAGTTGAAAATTTTTATTTGAGTGAACGAAGCGCTTAAGCATGATTAATATTAAATAGGAAGATATGAAATTTTATTTCATTATTGTTACAGCATCATTATGCATATCTTTTATCATTCAATATTAAAATATTTGTTCTAATAAGCATATCATTTAGAATTCAATATTGAGATATTTGAAAAATTGAATGATTTATTACTTTGCCCAAATATCTTTATTGTTCTAATAATTTATTTTGTATAACAATACTATTAAAAAATGGGGGCAAAATTTGATGGTCCCTAAGCAAAACATATATAACACGTACAATATTCAATTATAACATATTTTAAAATGAATACAATATATAACGACCAATGACAGTGTAAAATAAAAAAATATTATTTTCACTTGTTTTGGCATATGGTCAAACGTCATTTTTATTGTTGTTGTGGTCAGGAACCAAATGCAATCAATTTTGTTCCTTTTTGGTTTGGTGAACACACAAGACAAAGTGGATGGTTTGAGGTGGTCAACTTGACATCAGAATTATGTAGAAACACAATTTCATTTATGTGCAAAGGAAATTAATTGGTTTGTTTTGCACTCACAACATGGGTTTGGTTTTGTTAACATTGGAGTGTGTTTTGATTGTTACAGGGTTTTGAGAGATTTTTTTAGAGAGAAAAAG